TCTATTCTATTCTATTCTATTCTATTCTATTCTATTCTATTCTATTCCACTCCATTCCACTCCATTCCATTCCATCCCACCCCATTCTATTCTGTTCTAGTCTAGTCTAGTCTAATCCAGTCCAGTCCAGTCCAGTCCATTCTATTCTTAATTATATTCTATTCCATTCCATTCCTATTCTATTCTATTCCATTCCATTCCACTCCATTCCACTCGACTCCATTCCATCCCATCCCACCCCATTCTATTCTGTTCTAGTCTAGTCTAGTCCAGTCCAGTCCAGTCCAGTCGTCCATTCTATTCTATTCTATTCTATTCTATTCTATTCTATTCTATTCTATTCTATTCTATTCTATTCTATTCTATTCTATTCTATTCTATTCTATTCCATTCCATTCCATTGCACTCCACTCCATTGCACTCCACTCCACTCCACTCCATTCCATCCCATTCCATTCCATCCCATTCCATTCCATTCCATTCCATTCCATTCTTAATTATATTCTATTCCATTCCATTCTTAATTTATTCTATTCTATTCTATTCTATTCTATTCTATTCTATTCTATTCTATTCTATTCTATTCTATTCTATTCCACTCCACTCCACTCCACTCGATTCCATTCCATTCCTACTTTTGCTGGAATGGACCACATTTTCCAATCATCTTTGAAGGCCATCCTGTTGGAATGAGACAACTGCATGGTGGTACAATTGCACACAGGATAACTCATTGTGGTAAATATTATCTGCCACTATTTCTTTGACATTATTTCCATTGGCAAAAATGAAAAAAAAAAGTCTTAAGAAACAGAGGTGGATAACATTTATTACGTCAAATTATCCTGCATGGAACTGTCCCATGCTGAGTTGACCGTGGCAAGTTGTCCTAGATCCACATCCTGCAGCTTTGGATCCCGGCTTACTGGAAGTTCCAGCCTCCTGTTTGTTTCCTTTTTGGGCTATGGGGAGATTATGTTTGGGGATCAGGGCAATGCTGGGTAGTCCTGAAGGAGGCCAATTGGGAGGAAGTGAAGCCAAGCTCCCCGCAACCTGCAGATGAGTAACCCCACAGCCCCATCCTCCCCAGCCTGGGGATGGCCTTAGTCAGAGAAAACCCCAGCACTGACTGGATTTATACATCACGGTAAGCCCTGGCTTGTTTTAACCAGTCTTTACTGAAGAATGGACATCAGGCTAAGCCAAATCAAAGAAACCATGGTTTGGATGATCTCTGTGTCCCTAATAATAATGGAGTAGAGCTCACCATGTCTGGTTTGTTTATTTTCAGTAGTTAGTTGTCTCTGCCCTAAACTCTAAACCAGGAAGGATTCTATGCATGGAGTTGTGGTGTGAACTGTATTCATGGAGAGGGGAGTGTAAACGGTGCAATGACGCGCTTGGCACTTTTGCTGCAGCAAAATAAGATTGGCCTGCCGGTCCCCTCCACCCACCCCAAGAAGTTACCAAGATCTAACATGTCATGCTTTGTCTTTGTTCCTGGGGAACGGTTCTCTCTCTGCAGCTTTGGAGATGCAAAGGTACATGAAGTGTGTGGGGAGTTTGGGGTTCCAGTGTACCCACAGCCAGCAGTCTTGTTGTGGGAGGAAAGCCAGGGGGGTCAGTGAAAAGGTGGGGTTGAAACCTAACCACAATACAGTGTAGACTTCCTTCAGAGCCTGCATGGTGTGGCTTTTGGTCCTCCAGAACAGGGGTCCCCAACCACCGGTCCACGGACCGGTACCGGTCCGTGGAACAAGTCCTACCGGGCCGCTGGCTTGCTGGGCACCGCCATCTTGTTTTGATGAAAAAGTGCTTCCGGTGAGCTTTTCCGGGTAGAAAGCTCACCGGAAGCACTTTTTCATCAAAACAAGATGGCGGCGCCCAGCGCTTCCGGTGAGCTTTTCCGGGTAGAAAGCCATTTCTACCCAGAAAAGCTCACCGGAAGCACTTTTTCATCAAAACAAGATGGCGGCGCCCAGCTGATGTCGGTACCGGGCCGCGGCGTAAAAAAGGTTGGGGATCA